TCCTCCTCCTCCTCCTCCTCCTCCCCCTCCTCCGACGGAGGGGAGGGGGGGGGGTAGCACAAAGAGGACTAGCGAGCCAGCTCAGCTGGCTCTCTCGGCGCCCCTCGGCTCCCGTGCGCCGAGGAGCGCGCTCGGCGGCGGGGCCGAAGGACCAGCTGCGTGCAGCAGATGTCGCAGCCACCCTTGTTCAAGTCCCCCTCCCCCATATGTCCGACCAGACTCTCCCTTCGCAAAGGAGGGTCGCGAGAGAAGTGGATCTCGATCGTGCACACGGGGCGGGGCGGCATGACTGATCCCGAGGAGGCACCGCGCAGGGAGACACTGCCAAGGCCCCACGGCAAGATCGCATCCGCGAGGCGCACACTTGTCTGGTCGGCCGACCGAGGCTGTGTGCAGGGCAATGTAAAGCACATGACCGGCCTCAAGGAGACGAGAGGCTGGTGCGTGTGGTCACTGCGCGAATCAGCGAGGACGGGCAGAACGAGACCAGTCGTTGTAAAAAACATCGCCCGGCCAGCCATGTGCGAACCTGTCCGCAGGCATATGGGTATCGACTGAATGGGACGCGCAGCGCACTGCACCGCTGCGGGCATGGCTATTTCCTCGAAGCGCTGCCCTCCCTCCCCCGCCCCGCGAACTTCGCCGCGGGGGTGGGGGGCAGAAAACACGTAGAAGACCAGATTAGGCGCACGAGAGCGCACGGGAGCGGAAGCAGTGGGGGAGGACCTGAGTAATTGCAGGAAGAAGAGGAGACGAGGGAAGCTGCTGCTCGCAGCACTCAGGGGCGCTAGTGCAGGAGGGCGCGCAGCAAGCTTGTCCTCCGAGCTCGGCCCTTACCCTCTCGAGGTGTAGGGAGGGTCACGCCTCGATGCGTCCTCCTCCTCCTCCTCCTCCTCCTCTTCTCCTTCTTCTTATTCTTAGTATTCTTCTTCGTCTTATAAATATTATTCGTACTATTCATATTATATTATTAGTCGTATGAGTAGTACTATTTTTCTGACTAGTACTCCTAGTAGTCTTCTTAGTAACCTTGGTGTTCGTATGATTATCGTTGTTAGTAGTATGAGTACGACTAGTATTGTTCTTATGCTTACTATTGGTATGACTAGTATTACTACTATTAGTGTTCGTATTGGTAAAAGTAGTCGTATTCCTCACACAAATATTGGTATTATTCGTATTCGCCTTCTTATTCGTATCAATATTATCATTGTTACCATTAGTATCATTATTCTCCTCCTCGTCCTAATCCTCCTCCACCTCCTCCTCCTCCGTCCCCTCCCCCCCTTCTCTCCTCCTCCTCCTCCTCCGCTTCTCCTCCTCTCCTCCTCTTACCTCCTCCTCCCCCCTCCTCCTCCTCCTCCCACTCCTCCTCTCCTCCTCCTCCTCCTCCTCCTCTCTCCTCTTCCTCCTCCTCCTCCTCTCCTCCCCCTCCTCCTCCCTCCGCCTCCCCTCCTCCTCCTCCTCCTCACTCCCCCCACGTCCCCCTCCTCATCTCCCGCCTCTCCTCCTCCTCCCCATCCCTTCCTCCCTCCTCCTCCTATTTCTTACCTTCTCCTCCTCCTCCTCCTCCTCCTAGTCCTCGGCCTCCTCCTCCTCCTCCTCCTCCTCCTCTCCTCCTCCTCTTCCTCCTCCCCCCGGTCCTCCTCCTCCTCCTCCTCCTCATCCTCCTCTGTTGCTTCTTATTATTCTACGTATTATTATTCGTCTTCGTATTATTATTCTTATTCTTCTTATTCTTATTATTATTATTACTACTATTATTATCATCATCATCATCATGAACATCATCATTATCACCACCACCACCACTACCACCACCACCATCATCATCATCATCATCATCAGCATCATCATCATCATCACCATCATCATCATCATCAGCATCAGCATCATCATCATCATCATCATCATCATCATCATCATCATCATCATCATCATCATCATCATCATCATCATCATCATCATCATCATCATCATCATTAGTATTATCGTCATCATTATTAGCAGTATTATTATTATTAGCATTAGTATTCTCATTATTATTAGTATTATTATTACTATTATTATTATTGTTATTATCGATGTTATATTATGAATATTACTCGTATTAGTCTTGGTCGTCTTCTTCGTCGTCCTCCTCCTCCTTCTCCTGCTCCTCCTCCTCC